GCTTAACGATGAAACGTCTCATTAGAAAAGCGTGTAAAGGAATCAGGGTCCATGTGACATGTAGGAAATGAGAAGGAGCTGACACAATGCAGTGTGTGTGAAGTGACCCTGTAGTGTTATTGTGCCGACACTCACAACTTCAGCTGTGAACTGAAGCATGTTTTCAGCACTTTGTGGAATTAGCATTTGGGGGGGAAAGACATGACCACTGAAGCCAGCCTTCAAGCCCCTCCCCCAGTTTAGCAGACCAAACAACTGCCAGGTGGTGTCACCAAGATGGCTGCTGAGTGGAAAGACCTGCTTCTGCGAGGACTTGGTAAAAGTGTCACTGCGCATCAAATCAATCGCATGTGAAAGTTCACAGCTGACCACGTCACCTGTTACGGAACGACTTAAATGTCTTATCAGGGAAATTATGGAGAGCCAGGAGTGACAAAAGGAATTAACTAAATACACTTAAATACACCATTAAATAATTAATTAAATGCTCGTTCATTACATTTAAAACATTTAATAAATTATTTAACGGCATATTTAATTCATTTTGGCCCTCCTGGCCCTCCTTAGAAAATACAGTGTCTTTAAATAAATACAACTCAACTCTTTGGAGTGAGGGAAATTTTGGAGCGTGAGTACCAACAAACCGTACCTACACCTCATAGTCTGAGCCCTGTTTGTCCGGAGCTCCCTGACACTGTTGAATACCACAGCACAGCGAGCACAGCTTTGATAGAAAATAAGGAAAAAAGGAAAATCTGCGTCTACATTAAAAGGCCTTATTAGTTTTAACGTCTTCCTGCTTTGAATCGCTTTCACTCACATTACAGCTGCAATTAGTGGCTCCCATTTAAGGACCATTAATGAGCCGAAGCTCACCACCAAGTATAAAATCACCACGAATGTTCCCTTTCAGCCACGCTTTCAAACATTTAAGCGAACCGCTCCGATTAGATCTGCAGTTAGTGAGAGTTTTAACTTCACACTCGTGCCGGCAGTGACGTGAATGAAAGCTCACCCTCTGCTCCAATAGACACCAGCTTGACTCCCTTGCTGGCGATGAAGTCCAGGGCTTTGTTTACATTGTTGATCTTGTGGACCCTCATCTTGCCTCTTTCAGGTTTGGGTAACCGTTCGCCTGCAAACACACAGGAACAGAGAAAAGAGCCACTTAGCTGAGGTTGAGCATGTTTCCACGGGCAACATTCAGGGAGGTTTAAGTTACAGCAGTGACGCCGGCTTCACTTGAAACTGGAGTGAGTTTGAAAAGGAAGCCACATCTGAACCCAAACGCCATTAGTGAATGACAGCAGCGCTAACACAAACAGCTCCACTGCTACAAACCCAAACCCACTGCTGTGTCTTTAAATGCCTGCGATTAATACTGATGTCGGAAACTGGGCGACGACACCCCGGAGATGCTGTGCATCGTCAACATCTGAAAATATTTTTCCCTCTCATTGAGACCCACAAGTTGTTCTGCGGCTTCTGTGTGACTCACTCCAGAAACACTTCATTATTGCAGACGTTTAATTAAAAACTTGTACACCCGCCCTAATTTTCTGACAACTCCGGCTCTCTGAGGTCGGACGGTGACTCACCGGAGATGACCTCGAGCAGCAGCATGAGTTTGAGCCCATCCCTGAAGTCCTGCTCGATGTTTTCGATCTGCGTGCCGGCCTTCCGCAGGTGGGAGTTGCACCACGCCGTGAACGTCTGCGCGAGAGCAAAGGAGGGAGAAAAAAAAAGACAATTGGGGTTATTTGCAGCCCGGGTCAAAATATTTGTGTAGCTTTTATAATAATAAACCACTTTGAATAGTGAATGAAAGAAAATGAAATTCAATGGGCAGGAAGGGAGGTCAGGGAGACACTTTGATAAGACAGGAAGTGCAGGGAGAAACACGACGTGAAAGTTTAACTACATGTCACACACGAAGATGTGGAGTTGGCATTTCAGTAGCAAAACACTTCATGCATAGTTACCCTACAAAGTCGTTTAAGCTAAAAAGACAGAAAACTAACCAACCCAGCCCCATCTTGGCTCTCAGTGTCTGACGCTGCTGTCATTAAAAGGTCAGCACACAATGCCAACGATCTACTTTATTATTTTTACTTGTAATCAGACGGACATCTGAGTAAATCAGCAAATCATGCACATCCACCACTGCTTGGAAACCGTGTATTGGTTTTTCTGGTTAGCCGTCATTCTTTAAAAACACATTAGAGGTAGGCGCGCGACTGCAGATCCTGCAGCACTTTTTTTTTTTAAACAAAATTTAGTCACATCACTCTCCAAACATCTCAATTGCAGCACAACATCAGACTGTCTAACACACTTGGACGCATTCATCTGTTACATGACTCATTATGCAAGTTGGGGAAAGTGCGTAAAAATGCCAAGAGACTAAAATACATGGAGGTCGAGCATGCACACTTTCAGCAATGGTGCAAGCAGAGATTGAGGTCAGTATTTTTTGTTATTGTTCAAAACAGAAAAACTGTAATTTATGTACTTGAGAGATTAAAGAGGCAGTTTTAAGCAACACGAAAGCTCTGGAGATGAAATGTAGGTGTAGCTTTACGAGGAACTGTCCAGTAGGAGAAGTGACGGTGACAGGGAAGACCTTCCAGCAGGAAGGGTTTGACAATAAAGACATAAGGGAAAACAAAAGGAAGCACAGCAACAACCTGTATGTTAGTGCTGAATAAAGTTTAACAATAAAAATAACTGAATCCAGCTTAAAGTCGACCCATCTCCAGAACAGGCCTCACTTAACTCATACTGACTCATACCTTCTTCTGATTGGCTGACACATGCAAACAGCAGGTTTTTTAAAGTGGGTGGAGCTTCTATGCTCACAGTCAGAGTTGTGTGCCCACATGACCTACATGTTATCCCCCTTTACCAAGCAAGAGCCAAGACAGGCCATGTTTAGTGTGAGCACCCATCAGTCTAGCAGTGTTTGTATCTATGTGCAAGATCATTAAAATGGCAAGTGCTCGTTAAATGAGAAATATTGGGAAGTTTATTTTTGTAATATGCTGAAAATGTCCCAAAGCTCAGAGAAATAACTGGTGCACATGTTTGTTTAAAAACTAAATAACCTAAACATCTAAGCATGAAGCAGTCTAATCCAAGTATGTGCATCAGCGCACTTGGAAGGAAGCACAAAATCCAGAATGTAAACTGAGACTCAGACGGGACACACAACAGACACACAACAGACACAACTTTGATAACTTCCCATCTTTAAAAAGGGACTTGTGCTCATTTCCAGTATGTCTGCATATTCAGCCTTGTGTCTACAGTAGCTTTGCATGATTCACAGCACAAACTCATTCTGATTTGTCTCAGACCATCTTGCACTCTTCCTGAAATGAGCTGTTAAGCTCCTCCCCTCTGACGAGCCAGCTTTCTTCTGATTGGCTGCCCCTCGTACAAGGAGGGTTTAAACATCAGCTCACAAGGATTACGTCAACAAATGGTGATATCAATTTTCAATCTGTGGTCATATTTAATGAGCCTCCACCAGAGTTAACAGTTTGTATTTAAAGTCTATCAGCCCACTTCACCCACCCACACTTCCTTTACTCCATGTCTCCTGAGCTGTGTGTTCATAAACATTATGACAGGGTGCTGCTCGCCGCCCTGCCCCTTTACCCGCTATCCCACTGTGGATACTGGCACAAAGCACCCATTGAGCCTCTTGGATAATGGCACCCTTCAGCCCCCAGTACACTCCCTCAGCCCGCTCCCTCTGCCTCTCCCTGACCCTCCCCCAGACCGCCCGATACCAACCCCCTCCACCCGACACACACAATTACACAGAATGAGGCCGAGGACAGAGAGGAAGGAGGAGGAGGAGGAGATACATTTCACATAAACAAACGGACATACAAACAAGGTTGGTGGGCAGGAGGGGGAAGAGTGACAAAAGACAATGCCCTCGCTAACACACAATGCAGGAGGAAGTGGCACTGCAACGACAGGAAGTTACAGCTCGGTTTAACACAGAGCAGACAATCAGAGCGAAGATGCATTCATCACTGGACGCGGCTGTCAGCTGTCACCAAGACGCCGCACCGGAGCCACGAAGCCGGCAAACTGTCGTCATCCAAACATATCAACAGTTTACTCATTTTCTAATCTTTCTCTGCAACACATTCCAGCTTTTGAGAGCGTATTTCACCTCGCGCTCACTCAACGTTTCACAGTTTGAAAATACTTTACACAATGCGCCTTGCAAAGCCCATTTCCCATCATTCATACAGGGCTGATGTCTGGCATTCCTTACCAAGTGGTGCACACAACATCTACAAGCGCACACCTGTGCTTTGCAAAGTAAAAGAAAGTAAAAGAAAAAAAATGGAGAGTCTCCATTTTCAGCCATTTCTACAAACGTTTTATTCAGTCCACCTTAAACTTAACAAATGTACTTCTGGGCACCCGAGTAAGTGCAGTGCCGTGTTAGAGGCCACATTCAGGCTACGAGCTGTTCTCTCTGCTCCACTCTGTAAAGTTACTGTATAGTTGACTGAAACTAAACCAAATCCAAGTGTAGAGAAAAAAAATACACTTTTAAACCAAAACTAAAACTAGACTTTAGAAATAACAGAACTCGAGCTGCTGTGCATGTGTCGTGTGATAGTCTGAGACGCGTTTGTACTGAAATAACTGCTCTATGTTCTCACTGCGGACAAACAGCACCTATAATAGCAGTGAAAAGGAACAAGAATGCAATACCGAACTGAGCTTGTACTAAAAAGAAACCAGGAAGCCCATAAAAGACACTATATGATCTTTCTCAGTTCTAAATTTAAAATAAGAACTAATTAAAAACACCACACACACACACACACACACACACACACACACACACACACACACCTGAATGGCTGATTCTGTGAGGATGTTTTACGTGAATGTGTTCTCTATTCTCAGTGCCTTAACGAAACCCGAATCTGAGTTCAAAACCTGAAACAGTTTTCTGAAAGAAGTTGAAAATAATAAAAAATAAGAGCTGTACAGAAAGTTCAGACGTTTCTAAAGTTCATGACTGTCTAATGAGTTTCTCAAACACATCTGGGCACGCTGATGTTTCATTTGTTTTAATCGGCTTTGGTTTCCTGTTACAAATGACTTCCATCTCTAGTGAGTTGAGAAACTGTAACCCGGGACGTTTGATTCTCGTTTTTCATTGGTTAGCATGTGTGAGATGCACCTGGGCAGGTGGAGAAAAATGGCGTCTGTGTTGAAGCAAACTGAAAGGCAGTGATGGTCTTCTCCTCTATATACACACTAAAAAAAATAAAAGAGCTCCATTGACAGTAAAGTCTATTTTGCTGATGTCATCATTCTTGTGACAGCAATCACTCTACTGGCAAAGTAGCATTCGTGGCCTTCCTCCAGGGTCAAAGGTCAGACCTCAACAAAGCACTGAAGGACTCTTCAGCCTGCTTTATCTGAATTTAAAACAGGCTGGTCCATCAGGCTGTTGCGTGTCTGTCATAGTTCAGGTCTTGTTTTGTTTTTTATAGTGGACACACAAAGCCTGCCTCTGGCTGCCCGAGGCCATTCACTGACAGCAAGGAGTGGAGCTGCTGAGAGGATCTTACAGGCCGATGTGAACCACGCTGAGAGGACACTATGCAAGAAAAAGCAGCTACAAGAGCTTTGCCGTCCATTCACCAGCAGGCTGATGAAAGTCCACTGAACCTAACCAGACATGTATCGTCTAACTCTTGGATGACATTTAAATGAGCGTTTAAAATGCAAAATGTCAAAAGCGGCTTGCACATTTGCGTCTTTTATCCCCACAGTTGGGCGTCTTTCATGCCAGCGGAGCTGGGTGTAGTGTACTTGAAGGACTGGCTAAATTTAAAGGTAACAGAGTGCCAGCGAAGCCTGTTAAACCTGTCTGTGTTGCCACACACAGCAGATCAGATCAGAGGATTTCTGACCTGAGCCGAGGACACGGATAACCAGCTGACCGCCATGCAGGTCTGAGATGAGTAATGCTGGATCTCCGTGGTAAGACGGTTTACTTTTAAAGGCATGAGGGCTCTTATCCTCTACCATCTATTACATAACTTTAGCAGTATGTGTTGGCTTACTGCCACTCTCACCTTTACATGTTACCAGAGTAACAGAACTATGAAACTATGTAACAATATAGATTTTTCTTCGTCCCATTTATTCCGCATTTTAGCCCAGAAACAAAAATATCCGTTAGTGAGTGTTACCATCAGTCGTTTATCCTTCTACCACGCCATCTTTAATGAACGGTAACTTCTTTATTCATTTAATTAAAACTGATGGGACATTGCAGACAAATACTGTCATCAGCTGTAGGGATTCATCAACCCCACTGAGTCGCCAATCTATTTTTCCTGAACCAACAACTCCAGTGTCTGATTTTGGTGTGTGTGTGCGTGCAGCCGAGTCATCAGTGTAACCCTCAACAGTCTCTCATGTGCGAGGCTACAGGGTCAGAGGACAAAGCAGAAATTCATGCATGTGAGACAAGTGAAAGCATGCAAGCTGTGCACAGCGATGCTGTCCATCACCCTCGTGTACATGCACCACTCCTTGGACAGGAATGTTTTTAAGAGACCAGAATTCAATATCCATCTGCATCACCTACACACACAAAAATTCCAGTTTTGCTGCCGACTTCAACTCAACTTCAAGCGTGCACACACACACACACACAC